GTATTGTATGGGTGGGAGGGGTAACTCTTTGGGACATACTCAGGTACGGTATAGGTGGGAGGGGTAACTCTTTGGGACATACTCAGGTACGGTATAGGTAGGAGGGGTAACTGCTCTGGGTATGTCAACCTGCCAAGGGATAGGTGAACCTGCCAAGCCAGCCAAGTGGCTTCTGTCAGCTTCTATTGAGAGCCATGTGACCCCATCCCCCCATTCTGCATTTAGACATTATGTGCCAGTTGTTATCATTTATCAAGATAACTCAAAAAGTTACAATTGGGAATTGATTTATTCAGGGACCTAGAATATAGAAATTGGCAGTAAATGGATCAATGCATCAGAGCTGGTGGCCTGGAACGAGGTAGAGACCAAACAAACATAAAAAAGAACTCAGAAGGCAGTGGGGATAAAAGTACGGAGATGTTTATGCTGATTGGGTGGCATGAATCAGAGCAGCATACCATGGAATTCACTCCTGAGTTTGTCACCCCCTGATATCTCATGGTATTAAAATCCAGCTGCATTGTGAATGAGCGTGAGCAACGATACCTGCAAAGGCGTAGTACACAGACAAAAAAAGCGAATTAGCTATGATTTATTAGCTGGCACAATGGAGGTGTTCTGGCACTTTCTCACCATCCTTCCCTGCCTCGCTCATTTAGCCTCCTCTTGTCAGAACATGCTTCAGCGACTGGCCACATCTCCCTGTGCTGGCTTTGGTATAGACTGTACAAAGTCTTAGGCAGTCAAAAGAAATGTTTAACACTATTTATCTGGGTACTTAGTGCAATTTCACTCAGAACACGAAAAAAAAACACGACAGCATTCGAATATATGCAAATTAAGAGTAACCCAATAAAAACTAGTAAGAATTTCTTGTGTTCTTCAAAAACCTACTGACTTCTTGTCGGATGGCTAGATAGACACCGCTTCAGTTCCCAAACCTCTCCTCAGGGGCACCTCAGCCGTTCCATGTATTATTAAATTATTCCACCAGCTCACTTAATTAATTTAATTAGTTTAAAAGTGTCAGTGAGATGTTCGTTAGCTATACGAGGTGCGCTAGCAGTCAAGTCAAAAACCACATGGGTGTATTGGATGGTTGCTGGAAACACTGGGGTGGCTTTAAGAGAAGATTTGAAATGGCTAAGCTTAGATACTTTGACATGCATCACAGTTTTACACCAACATGAAGATCATTTAAACATCATTTCCTTTGCACTATATTTCATGCAACAACCATCTTGCTGACTGCCTCCATGCAAGATACATAAGCTTCCCTTCGTTTCACTTCCCCTTCCGTGACTTTTTTAGCTCACGACATGAGGTCAGAAGTTTCCCGTGGGGGACGTTCTTCATCCTCTGCATCCCCGCAGTTCACTGCTTATGGGAACAAAATCGCTTGTGGCGGATTGAGGGATGATTCATGGCCGGGGACCCAGCAATCACTCTCAGAGTAAGTCAGCAAACCAGTGGCCCCTCATGTGATCAGTGGCCCCTCATGTGATCAGAGGCCCCTCATGTGATCAGTGGCCCCTCATGTGATCAGAGGCCCCTCATGTGATCAGTGGCCCCTCATGTGATCAGAGGCCCCTCATGTGATCAGTGGCCCCTCATGAGTTGTATAACCATCATCTATGGTAAAGACAGTACAAAGATAGCGGTTCTCCGACTTTCTGAGAACCTCTTTTTTTCCCCAGATTTTTACAAATTTGTTTAACAGTGCAGTCAGGGGAGTCATAAAGGGGGGGCGGTTGTTTCCAAGGGCCGCAGAGGGACAGGGGATATAAAAAATTTAGGACTGCCGTGATCAGTAGACATACTCCATGACGTCAACGCTGAAAATGTGTCAACATCAAAATTTTTAAATCGACGCATTGGTTTAAAAAAATTATTTAAATAAAATTACCTTTATGATTTCTATAACGCTTCAAATCATTATAACAAATGTTTTCCTTTTAATATCACTACGTAATTATGGGAGTAGTTCAAATGATCACACAACAAAAAGGTGGTCTGTACACCGTGCAAAGTTTCGATGGCGTACCACAGCGGCAGTGAAGCACGAGAACCTGAAGAGGAAAAGCACAGCTGCTATTCTGGATGATGGACCACCAGTAAAGGCAAAACCATCGTAAGTGCTGGCTATCTTTATGAAATTGCCATTAATATGAAGAGCTTTTTAATATCCATTGTCCTTGTAGCTGCTAAATTCAATCGTTTCACACATCAATAGCTGCTACCTTAGAATCTCCGTTGAATAGGTGTTTGAGAAAATGTTTAGGCTAAAATCTGAGCTTATTCTACATTGATTGACGGTGCCAGTGTGTGTGTTTGTCAGCATTGGGCTTGTTGGGACCAGTGCTGTTATCGTGAGCTAAAGCTGAAAGGAAAATGGTAAGTTAAAAAAAAAACTAACTAAAATAAAAACATGAAAACTATATTTACCACCAAAAAAAAGTGTCAGAGTTTCATTTGCAAAAAACACCTCCACACCACCAACGTCTTTTTACCTGGTTTAACCACGATATCTCCTCTTTTAAAAGATGTGGTTGCTAAGTTGTCGAACTCGTATTTAAGAACACACACTGCTCCGGGAATAGGCGATTTTACAGGCGGTGCGGAGGGCGCAATTGCACCCCCTACTTGTCAGATGAAAATGCTTTCAAGTTCAATAAAATTTTATTATATTGTAAAGTTATATTTGAAAATGTGGCTTGTGTTCATCATATTAATGGGTGACAATTTATTATAAATGTTTCCTTTTTTTTTTTTTTTTTACAAATTTAATTATCTGAATGAAAGAAAAAAAAAATATATATATATAAATACACACACACATATATGTCTGTGTGTGTGTGTGTTTCATAATATATGCTTGAGTTTAATTAAATTGGCTGACTGGTACAGTATTGGCTCAGAATAAGTTTCAGAACTGCTATCTTTGTAGCGTCTTCACCATAGATGACAGTTATGCAACTGTTTGGGGTCTCGCACCTTGCAGCCCCTAGGAGAAAAGCCAAGAGTCACCTATGACTCTAGTGAATATATGCAGTCGTATACACTGTTAAAACTATAAGTCACTCAGATAACGCTGTGAGCTCTGCGGCGAAATGCAAACACCGCGGTCCGGTCATCTTTAATCTACCTGGTTCATCGCAGACTGTTTTGGGGAGTAGATGAAAAAGCCAGACAATGGGGGTGGAGCGTGATTCCTGTACCGTCTGGGAAGAGGTGGGCGAGCTAAAATGCGTAAGAGCCACAGATCTCAATCAGTGCAAGTGAAGCAGACATAAAACAGACGGTCCAGGCTGAAAGCAGGAACTTCCCAGCCGCCTGCATGTGCGATTTGCGGGTACAGATTAGGACACTTGACTGCAAATGAAAATAATGGAAATATATATTTCTTCACCATTACTGGAACTGATCACTGGCCCCCTTATGATGTAAGCATCTATCAACACTATATCAAAAAAAATCACACACCTTTTTATCCTGTAAATGAGAAGCCCGCTAAAGGCTGACTTTTTTAAAATTGTTCCAAATTTTTACTTGATTAATCAATGCTAAAACTATCAACTGCCAAACCTGCCCCAGATTTACTAACTGGGTAGCCGAACCTGCTCTGGGCTGGAGCTCACACTTACTTAAGGAGAGCAGTGTTCACTGCTTGGTCATCAGCATTTCTCTTTGAGGAGAGAGCTCCGCAGTGACCCTGTCAGTTTGGTGGTTGGGGCTGGACTGTGCTGGTTTGTTTTCCCAGTGCCTGTCAGTGTAGGTTTTCTGTGTTTGTTGGTAGCCAGTGGGTGCTGGATTGGAGCTGTGGGCCGTCTGGGCTTCATGGTCCCTATTGACCAAAAGTCTTTAGACGTTTTTGGCCGGTTTCTGTGTCAAGGGCTTCATGATCTCAGATGGTCATCATTCTGTAGCTGGTGTGGGCTGCAGACATCCAGGGCCTGTCCAACCAGTCAGCGGCACAAATGCCCCTCATTCTCTGTTTCCAGCAGGGTTGGGGCTGTTGGTCTCAGGGGCCAGGGGGGTGGAAGACCTGGCAGGATGGATGGGCAGCCCAGGTAGAGATTCTTTCACAGATCTGGTTTTATGAAGGCTAATAAAACATTTTAAGCTAAACCCAAAGTTAGCATCATAACAGCACCTGATGCATCTCTTCAGAAAGTTCTAAAGCATTTTTGGTTCAGTGATAACAACAACCTGGCTGAAATCTAGGTCCTTAATTTGGGGGGGGCGGGGGGGGTACTCAAAACAATTTTGTATTTTACTTAGACCTAACAAATGGGAACCTGAGGGATCTCAAATGAAGAACTGGTTCTCCTGTATTTGGTACATGGTAAATCATCCATCCATTTTCTACAGCCGTTGTCCTACGCAGGGTTGCGGGGTTCTGGAGCTTATCCAGAAAAACTGTTGTATTGACAGGTAGGCTGGTCCAATCCTTTTTGGGGCCCTAAGCAAAATTCACTAACCAAGCTTTCATTTCTTAAATTCCTTCCCATTCCGACAGGCTGATCAAATGTGGGGCCCCCTGGTGGCCGTTGGGCTCTAAGCAGCTGCTTAAAAAAAAGTGGAACAACCCAAACTTAAACATGTACTGCTTCGTTATTTCATTATGCTTCTTAATCCCATTCCTGGTGCCACGTGAATGCCAGGAAGGGCAGAATAGCTGCTGCCCTTCTCATTTATACAGGGCCATAGGAGAGTGTTCAGGTCTGAGCAGGATCGTGTTCAGGAACCCACTGGCAGTTGATGACCATCTGGCCAGACATTGGGGGGCATTTACAGGTGACAAATACATCCCACCTAACGCTCCCTAATGCTGCTGCCGTCTGTCCTTGCGAGGCTTTACCGATTTAATGCAGAGACGTTTCGATGTTTCAGATACAACTGCTTTATACAGTTGTGTTCAAAATAATAGCAGTCCGACATCACTAACCTGATCAATCACCGTTTTTGGTAGAAATTATATTTCTACATGGCAGATAATTTACTAGTAGGTGTAGTACAGTAATGGAAAACCAACAAACCCAACAGGCATAACATGCATGGTGCTGATTATGTGTAACAGAATCATTACTTGAAAGGGGCGTGTTCAAAATAATAGCAGCGTGAAGTTCAATTAGTGAGGTCATTCATTCTGTGAAAAAGTAGGTGCCAATTATGGGCCTTATTTAAGTGAGGAAGGCAGCAAATGTTGTCCATGCTGGTTATAGTGCATTTCTCTCTGAAATTCTGAGTAAAATGGGTCATTCCAGACATTGTTCAGAAGAACAGCTTACCTTGATTAAAAAGTTGATTGGAGAGGGGAAAACATATAAAGAAGTGCAGAAAATGATAGGCTACTCAGCTAAAATGATTGCGAATGCTTTAAAATGGCAACCAAAACCTAAAAGACGTGGGAAAAAACAAAAACTATCATTCGAATGGATCGAAGAATAGCCAAGATGGCAAAGACTCAGCCAATGATCAGCTCCAGGAAGATCAAAGAAGGTCTAAAGTTACCTGTGAGTACTGTTACAATCAGATGACGCCTATATTAAGCCAAGCTATCTGCAAAAAGTCCCCGCAAAGTCCCATTGCTGAAAAAGACATGAGCTGAAGAGGTTTCAATTTGCCAAAGAACACACTGACTGGCCTAAAGAAAAACGTCACAACATTTTGTGGACTGATGGAAGCAAGTTTTTTTTGGGTCTAGTGGCCGCAGAGAATTTCTCAAATGACCCCCAAACACTGAATTCAAGCCACAGTACACTGTGAAGACAGTGAAGCATGGTGGTGCAAGCATTATGATATGGGGATGTTTCTCATACTACAGTGGAGGGCCTATTTATCACATACCAGCGATCATGGATCAATTTGAATACCTCAAAATACTTGAAGAGGGAATCTTGCCTTATGC